GAACTACATATAGTTACCAAGACTGACGGAAACATCTTTCTGTTTGCATATGCTAATGGTATGGTAGTCGAGAAATGCGCTTCACAGGGGTTTCATCAGATAGGCGGTTTAAAAGTCTCCGGGTACAGTGCTGGGGCGGAGCGTTTCTTTGCAAACTGCAGTGGTCTTGAGATTAACCTGAGATCAGGCTCTATTTTCGTTTCGCTTTGGAAATTTACATTCCGGCGGGCAAGGCGAAACCAAAATAGATTTTTGGCGATAGCCGTTAGAGAGAAAGTATGAGAACCGCTAAAACTGGGCCTGATCTCAGGTTATCTTGAGATAGACTTATTGGCGATCTTCCTACAACATAAGTTATGTTATAAAGAGACAATATCGTAGAAAAATTTTTTCGATTATGTACAGGAGGTTTAATTATTCCACACTGGAATAACAAAATACTACAAAAATTACTATATTAACTTTTACAAAATGATAATTTCATAAGGAAAAGATTACAAAACAATCAATAACGCATGTTTATGATATATTAATTATCATATTAATTGACTCAACTTTTTTGCCAGAAGTCCAGATAGATAATGAATACACAGTGACTGTTGACTGGTGATAAGGTGCCGTTTGGAGAGATAAAAATGACCGTTGAATAAGGGAAGACATTAAAATACGATTATAGATTTCATCCTTACCGCACAGTTACAGGACCAGTAACAGAATAAAACAGAATAAAGCAGGAAATTTTTCAATACTTTTTCAACGGACCAATTTTAAAATTTTACAGTTTAGGACCGATAAGAATCCATCATCATCATCATCATCATCATCATCATCATCATTATTATTATTATTATTTTTTAATTAACAATAGAGAATGGGTTTGCTCATTCTTCTTGCTATTAATTAATAATATAACCTTATCTTTATTGCATTATAATTACACAGGCGTCAGTGTATCAGTGCATCACGTATTCACTGTTATTCTCAGTTCCTTCGCTTCTGTTGTCTCCGGCCATGATCTAGGTGCCTGTTCGCTTTGCATGTGGATGGCACTTTCATTGTTACACATGATTTCACGTGATGCGCATCGTTGTCGTTCTATGGTTCTTATGATTAAATTGTGACAGGCTTACCGACTCTCGCACGTGTCTTACTCGTGACACCTTAGGTTTACCTGACTTTCTTGTCAGGAGAGAGTGCAAATGGATGCTATTCTCCTCGCCAACCCTTCCTTTCTCTTTGAATGATAACCAAGCTTAGTGAGTTGAAATCTAATAAAAACTGAGTATGAGTAGATGCTGAAGTAAACATTGCTAAATATTTCACTGAAGTTCTTTCGGGGTACATGTCTTCTCCAAAAAGTGCACAAAATAATTATAGCTCGTTTTTTACATGCGATAAGATAACAGATGCTTTATACAGTTAGTATTTTGTACTTGCTCTTTAAAGTAAAGTGAACCATCCGTAATATAATAAGGAACTTTAGCAAGGAATTAATTATTTTCTATTTTTGTAAGTTAAAAAAACTCCTCTAATGTCGTCAGTGATATATGTACGCACATCTCCCCTGCCAGGGGTCCCATGCCTCTCTGTTTCTGTTTAGCTCGAAAATTAAAGTGAGATGAGGAAATCGAATTTGAAAGGCGATTATTTCCTTCGTTAACTTTGTAACAAAAATCTGATTTCCTTCTCCAAAAAGAAAAGACCATTTGACGACATCTTTTGCATCTAACTATTCTCTTCTACGGAGTCCAATACTTAATAAAGATTAAAGATATAAGGCATTTGGGTAGAAGCGAACCAATGTGGGTGGCTTGTAAGTCCACGAACTTATGCCTCGTTGACCAGCTGTTGCATTGGCACCTTACTTTGAGTTGAGAGGATCTGGGGCTTATGAGTTGGCAGGTTAACCTGAAGTCGCGCAGGCGCACGGCGCTTACACCACATTCCACAGCAAATAGTAAGAATGAACAAAAAGATGAAGCCCAGGATTGGACCAGCGATCGTCAGCATCTTAATGTAACGTGGCTGTCTGTTGTACCAAGCGCTGAAACCTAAAAAAGGCATATTGAAAAGTTGGTTTCGTTTTTCATGTTGTTGAAATTAAAGTGCCTTGTAATTATTTCTCAAACATTCATGTTAGATGCCTATGCTGTTTAGAGGGTTCTCCCTTTCCTTTCTCTCTGGCTGTTTTTTTTGGACAGAGATTTAATGAACTTTTGTAAGACCGGACTCGCTGATATGACCACATTGGTTCTGGTTAGAGACATGCTATTTCATTCCTTACCGCAATATTTGGAAGAAAGTGGAATTTCTCCTTCCAGAAGGTTAGCATCGAATGGATGATCCTTTGAGCGCAGCAGGTGTATATTGGCATTGCCCATCAACTCCAGCTAAAATGAATATATCATCAGAGGTTAACATGTGCTCGTGTAGATTCTGATATAATAAACGTCTTCAAATTGTCCCTCTCTACCCAGTTTGTTATATGGGTACTAACGCGGACATACTGCTAAGCGATCCCCGGCCTGGGGTGAGGGGTTAGTTAGCTTTTAGTTGCTTCATGCTTTGGAAATGGGATACTCCCACCGCCGCCATGTTTGTTTCACTTCGTGCAGGGCTAAAAATATTGAAAAACGGTTTATACCCATGATCTTTATTCAGTTATTATTTTGCCGATTCATTATATCGTTATATCGTTTTAATGAGGCACAGCATATAGGGGCATTCATTGAAGAACGCACTGGCCCTGGTTCTAGTTGTATACGGACGTAGATGAGCCAATAAGACGAGAAAAAATACCTTGAAGTGCAGTTTTTCTCCATTTCTCTTCAGTCCAACTTTGAGCGAAACAGAAACTTTGGCAAGCGAGTTTAATCCTTCAGTGATGGTATGGTCTTCTGGGAGTTTTATTTCTTCACCATCCTTGAAAGTGTGCGACCAATCAACGACAAACCCGGGTGATTTAAATGTCACTGTAGCGGTCAGCGGATCCTTGCATCTGTTCACTTTGAAAACGATCGTGGCATGCCTTCCTTGCACCTTGACATCGCACGTGATTTTGTTGCAGAGATCGCTGACATCACATCTGCCACCGAGTCCGGGAGGAAGATCTATTATTGGGCATTTATTGCCACTATCACCACTCTCATCATTACCGTAATCTTCTTCGTAATCGTACGGGTCTTGGTAATCGTGGTCTTTCTTTGCAACTAAGGTTGGAAGATAGAGACAGTGGGGTTTTCAACTGTGTCGGTGTGTGTAAGACACATAAAAAATTCAATTTTATCGAGATATCGGGTTCTGTTGCGTCAAGGTACGTTCTACAATTCGTTTCATAATTTGGACAGTAAATGGCAAGTCTAATCAAATATATAGTTAGTTCAATTGCTGGTTTGCACATGTCGTCACGGCAGCCGTGTTGATAGACAAAAATAAAAGCATTTCTCTCATCTGGAAACTAAACTCTATTTTCATGTATATTTCTATTGTATTGAACCCCAACATGTCTGAGTGTTTTAGGGGTCCAAAAGAAAAGCAAAACAAAACAAAAAACACTATAATATTAAACATCGGAGGTGAAGGATTCACTTATCCTCTAGCCTGAGTATCAGGCGTTTCTGGGGGAAAAGGGGAAAGATGGAAGCGAAAAAGGGAGAGAGCTGAAAAAAATCTCGTCTCCCCTATCCCCTTAGGAAGGCCTGATACTCAGGCTACTTATCCTCTCTTGGTTTCAGTGGTCGGGACTACCATAAATCAATCTTGGTTCGTCATAACTCGCTTGATGAATTTTGGCGGAAAGGATGGCGGGACACATTTTGTCCACCATTCTTTTCGTTCCCATAATGCCTTGCCTTTGCTTGCTCCATAATAATTAATTCTCTATTTTCCAATTGCCCATAATACACTCTGCTTGCCCCCCAAATTCTGCATAAACCATTGTTTTTAAATGCTCCTGGGAGTATTGCATTTTCCCAAGAGCATTTTAAGACAATAAGTTATGCAAAATTTGGGGGGCAAACAGAGTGTATTATGGGCAATTGGAAAATAGTCAATAGGCCATTTCCGAGTTGCCGCCAGCCTCCGTCTGAGGGCGAGGTTAAGTGCAAATCCACTGATATGAAAATGATATTTTTATTTACAACTTATTTTAACAAAAAAAGGTTTTGCAGTTGGCCTTGGTTTGAAAAAGAGGGTTTCTGGAACTCGGAAATGGCTTTTTACCGCTGGTCTCACGCGATATCTCGAACCTACTGTAAAATGAGCTGGACTCCTTCGTAATGAAAGAGCACAAGATCTGCTTTACTGAACTTGAAGTAACAAGCATGCGAGCCAATACATAACTGTTTTCTAGACGTTCTTCTCTAGCAACACGTACTGCAAGTAACTTTAGGTATTTTATTATTGCTGGTCGTTTTATGGAGCTTTAGAACGCGTAGTTGTAGCAGCAACAACAACAAATAACAACAAGGCAGCAACAACGAAACTAAAGGGTGGAATAATGCGCTCGTCACACATCAGCAAAAAGCGACCAGAGTACATGTACGATCCCAGCTTTGTTCAATATATTTGCTGCATGGAGAATACTTGCTTAGCAGGCTAAGCCAGGCAACGTACAGCTAATGCGTACAGCAGGTTACCACTATTCACAAAAACTAACATGTGAGAAGCGTAATCACCTGTTCACATGTTAGACTTAATTTACATTTCAAAGTTAATCTCGAGAGGGCCTTTCCTTCTTTATGCGGTTGTTTCTTCAAATCCTGAATTGTAATTTATTATTTTGTGAAAAGTGTAATATTTTATAAGGACAGCATCATTCATACGATGTTACAACATAAGAGGATGAATATTTCATGAAAACAAACTTTTGTTTAAATATTTGCTGGCGCGAATTCAAAAGCTCGTAAAATATAAGTTCTGCTCGAACTTTCGCATATAGAATAATACATGTAACACCTTCCAAATAATGCAAAAAAATTCCATTTAACACCAAGATTTTGAGAAATACAGGCCCTCAAGTTTCAAAAAAGGCGCGAGCAAGTAGCTTTGGAAAAACACAGGCAAGAGTCATTTAAAATTTATGTCCTTCACAAAAGACAATAAATTTTAAACGAGAAGAAATGTTTTCGTTTGGGGCTGTACAGTGGATATGGTTTCAAATCAAATGACTTTTCAATGATTGTTTGAAACCTAAACAATAAAATTTCAGGCGCCATGGAAGTTTTAGAGTTTTTTCGTCCGTGATTTTACAGGAAAACGTTCAATATTTCCCCAATATCAGCTCGCAGCCCGCATCACATATTATTCAAGAGTGCCTTTCATAAATACTACTTGCGTCGTTGAAATTGGGTGTAGTCAGTGATCTAAATAACAAACCTCAAAGCCTTAGTTTACAATGAATCCCTCCTCCGAAAAGGAAAACATACTTCTAGGTACCAGAGTAAAACAGAACTCATTGCTAAAATCCGACAAAGCCTGTCGCCTTTCCACATTTGCGAGCCACAGTTCAATGACAAACGTGAATAAATTTCTAGTACCATAAGAGGCCATGTTCTTATAGAGCTTACATCCAATTAATTATATAATTAAAACTCGGTTTTTGACTGAAAAACGTACCTATAACAGAGGAAAGAATGCAGAAGACCGCAAAACCAATCGACAACTTGGGCGACATTGTGCCAAACTTACACAGCAAACCCATCGAGATTGCTTTGCTTAAATATTCAGATCCGAGAAATTTGAATATTCATGCAATTGATATTACATGCGGTCATGTTTATTTGTGAAATTCGTCATGGTTACTGATTACAAAAAAATGCGTTTTGTGATCTGATGAGAGATTTTTTTTAAATGCTCAAAATATTCTTATATAGCTAACACTTTGCTTAACGAACGATATTTTTGTTATATTCCCTGATACAGTGTACACTTTTCAGTTGCGGGGTTGTACACATGTACATGGAATTTAGAGTAAAACTTTCGATTGGATTTTTGTTTGTTATTTAATTTGTTTTGTCTTTTTCGCAAAGTATAGTTAAATATTTCGTCTTGTTTTGAATATTAAGGCATGTCTTTTTAACGGAGATACCAGGATATTACAAGGTTAGGTCATCATAATATCATTCAAGATTTGCTTGTTTTTGTTAAGTCTCTTCACCATACAGGGATTGAGCGCTAAAAGAATTTTATTACACTGTACTTTCGTACATCGTTTCAATAAACTTTATTCACTTCATAGACAAAAAAATACTAATACCGACAACACTGAATTAAATAATCATACTATCATTTACACATGTCGTGATTAATTCCCCTAAATAATTAGTTTTTAAAATACTAAGCGGATAAATATCACTGTCGAAAAAACAAATTATGCTTACAAGTAGTGACACTGATCCTTGGACGACGATGATGTCACCAGTAGTCACCAAGCCACTAGTGACAACACAGGCAGCCCAAGTTCGAAATATGAGCATCGCGAGCATCGGCATTGTTGCGTAACATTCAAAATATAAGGATTTGTATGGGAAAAAACCTATCGTTTCCGTAACCTACGAAAAAGAAAGGATTTCAACAAAAAAAACAGCTTACCTTATTTAAAATGTGTGTTACGTCTCTCCTGTGTGGTCCACGGGCCGATTTATGGCCGTTTTATGGGTTTTTATGTAAACGGTTTGAACCACACAGGAGAGACGTAACGCACAGTTTAAGTGAGGTAAGCTGTTTTTTATTGAAATCCTTTCATTTTCGTAGGTTTCAGAAACGATAGGTTTTTTTCCCATACAAATCCTTATATTTTGAATGTTACGCAACAATTTCGAGCTTGGGCTACCTGTGGTGACAATCACGGATTAAGTTTCCCCATGCTGCTTAGTTAACAGAAGCCATATGAATTTTTTCAACCGCGGAATTAATTACTTTAAATATCAAGAAATTATGAGCGTATGAATGTACATAGGAAGGATCCGTAATTTTCTCCTTTAAATGATGATCAGCGACCTGCGAAAGAGTGAAAAGCAGTTATTCAATTAGAATAGACAAAAGAAGTGATCGACTCTTTAGAGGCGAGATGCTGGCCACATTTCTTACTAACTACCATTTACAGTTCAGGATGACTCCAGCCTTATGTTGATCACTGCTAAACTGCTTATCTGCTGAAAGATAATCTACTGTACAACAATATCGGCAAACCTAAAGTTGCTTTTCTCTTTGCTGTTTTGTTATTTATGTCTATATTACTGTACCACAACCTAGCGGCATGCACGACAAGTGCATTTTCAAGGGTACAATATTTAACGCATTGCATTTACTTTGGACTGTTCTCGTAACTAATACACCTTTCTAGTTTAGTAACTGTGCTGACATTGTGGGTGGCTTCTCCAATCGGTTGTGGTAATGTGCATTAGATCATATATTTGAATGCTATTTTGCGCCTAATAAATAATGAATTATTATTATGAAAACACTGATTTTAGGCATCCTTCTCAGTGATACACAGTTGCGACTTAAAGATATTCAGTCCAGCAACAACAACTTGCCGTCTGTCGTCTTTGAATTAAACTGAGATCAAGCCCGTCGTGTGTGGAATTGTGGGAAAGATGCCCTCCTCAACCTTTGTGCATCCTCCTTTTTCTTCGCGGGGTGGGGTGAGGGGTTTTTCGGTAGAGAAGTGTCGGGGGTGAAAAAAACCTTAACATCAGTGATTACATAATGAATCTTAACCTTTTTCTGCGGCAGGGTCTACAGCAGCAACAACAACAACAACAGCAGTTAAACCCTGTGATGATTGACAGCACCAGCAACAGGAACACCAACACTAGCACTATGCGCACAGCGGTGTTACGCGCTTCCCACCAGCGAACAAATCCTACCGACAGAAAAAAAAAGAAAAAATGTGAAATGGGTCAAAATGATAAGGCGAAGATTTGTTAGCCTGGGAAAACAGCCGACATTTTGCGACGCCACCCGCCACTAGTTTCCCCTGGGAAAACGACGTCTGAGAAACGACTGCAGAAATTCCATACTGATGACGCGTCACTACCAAGATCTGGGAAGTGCTTCTGATTGGTCGTGCTGCGCGGGAAAATTGCTTCAGCCAATCAGGAGCACTTCCCAGATCTAAGTAGCGACGAGTCATCTCTGCGCTCGTTTCTCAGAAATGTCTTCGGTTTACTCACGCCAGTGATTTGTAGCTGGGTTTTGTCTCCCCCCCACCTGCTTTAGCTATACGCCTTTCAAGTAAGCTAAATGGTGAGATGTCAAAATCGTACGGAATCTTATATCGCTGGAAATATGTATTTCTTTACCACTCGCTACATAAACAAGACTGAATCATTGTATGAAGTCACTTATTTGCCACGCAAAGTTTCTGCTCCAAACAAACCTCGTTCCCAGTATGTCGTTTCCTCCGGTCCGTTCGCGCTCTCACTCCTCTCAGAAGAGAGATACTGGAAACGAGGTTTGTTGGCTTGAGTGATGAGCCATTAGTACATTACAACGCGAAAAAGACAAAATTTAAGGATGTAACAATTTCTGCGGGTATTTTTACTTACCACAGTAGGCTGTGGAAATGGGCAGCTTTTGGGTCACCATGGTCATCTTCAAAGGAAAGAATGTTACTGAACCGACTTTAGTTCCTCCTTCTAGAATAACCTGGATAATAAGATTAAGAAAACATAGACATCTACAGCAGTTAGCACTGCTAAATGTACTTTCGGTCACGTCCATCAAGTGTTTACCAACGCCCTCTCTTTCTCACACTATGAACATCGACTAAAGTTACAACACGTGTCTTGTGGATGTAAAAGGGACAGATGGCGTTGAAGAAACTTAAAACTCATTCAAGTTAGCTGTGTAATGTCAAACTTAGAAAAACTATAGCGTAGCTGCAACGTAATTTTGAGACCTTCTTCCACCATGGATGCTTTATGATGGAATAACGGCTATGTAAAGTGTAGGGAATGCAAATCCAGGAGCTGTGAACGCAGATTTCGACAGATTATCTCGCTCAAACAGATTTTCCGTATCTCTCGTTCAGTAAGTCAAAAATACATATTCCAGATTTCCAGCGCATTTGAAATGTTTGCAGGTAACTGCTACCTCGAATACTTATTGGTGTGTTTCTTAAAAGCCGATTTTGATGAACTTTTCAGTTTCTGCCCCTTCCCTCTAACCCCTTCGACACGGCTACATCACTAGGGCCATTTATACGAGGAAAAATAAGACGCGTCTTAAATAAGACGCGAACTGTACCATTTATACGAGCATGTCTTATCTAATAAGACGCGTCTTAGCTAAGCCGCGTCTTATTTTAGACGAAAGGTGCCGTTTATACGGAAAGTTCGTGTCTTATTTAAGACGCGTCTTATTTTTCCTCGTATAAATGGCCCTAATAAGTAACCAATCACAAACCTTTACTGTCAGTATGTTATCATCAGGTTCCAGCTTCACTCTAATAAACAAACCAGCCTTAGCGACTCCTTTCACATCTATGCCCAGTCCCGGCACGGCCAGCTCGTCCCCGGATGTAAACACGTGTGTCCAATCCACGTCATCTCCTTTCACTTTCACATTTATCGTCACGGTGACCGGTTCATCGCACCTAGAGTGTCAATAACGCATGCGCAAAACTTGGTTTTGATATAAACTTCCGGTATAGCAGGCAATTAGACCCATTATTACACGAGTGCCTAATAGGAAAATATAGTTAAGACTGTGAAAACATAAATACTTCATGGACATGCCATTTTATACTAGAAGTAAGTATCTCAAAATTATTTTTAATCTGTCCAAAAAAATCAAATCAACCTATCCTGCAGTGCAAGCGTTTCCCTCGGGCGCGCGAGTGTTTTGCTCGCGAAAGCGCCACGTTGAAACTCGAAAAGAGAGGACAAAATGGGGCGAGTCAAAAGGAGAGGGGTTGGCGGCGGGAAGAGAGAAGAGATTAGGGTTGGGGTTAGGCTTCCCTTCCCCTCCCCCCTTTTCTTCTTTCACCCTAACACCTACCCTAAGGGTTACTATTTTTACTCTCCCTCTCCCTTCCTCCGTCATAACATCAAAGATGGCGGTTTCAACAGTGCGACAATAAACAACCAGCTTTCGCCGGCCCAAATTACGCCTGCACTGCAGACTAAAAACTACTATATTTCATTACCTGTTGACCTTTACTGTCAAAGTTATGGTTTTCCCACCAAAGTGCGCGTTACATGTGATCTTGAGGCAGTCGGAAGTGATGGTGCAGTCGCCTGGTAAATCCGTATCTTTACATTCGTCATTTCCCGCCAAAGAGTTCGAGATAATCTCAAAAAGTTCATCTAACTTTTTGGTAGCAGAGTCTGTTAGATCATAAAAGCTCAAAGTTAAGTAGCCTGCGTTAGAGTTGATTTCCACTGTCACGTAATTTTTACGTGCGTACGTGCGCAAAAGTTACGTTCGCAAATAAAATAAAGGCATTATATGAAAGGTCGCAAGTAAGCGTAAAAGTAGAACCTCCCTCAACTTCACGTTCAATCTCAACACTTACAGTAATATCTTGCCTCTATTTTACTTACGTGATTAAAATTTACGTGCGTTAACGTGCGTAGCCAAAAATGCGTCAGTGGAAATCCTTTTGATAGATTTGACCACACTCCCCCCCCACCCCCCACCCCTTCTATCCTGATAAATGTGAGCCACTGAAACGGAACTTTTTCATAAAACACTGCAAAGCCTGAATTTCAGCCGTCTCACAACCCTTTGTGTGACTTAAAAAAACGCATTAAGGAAGCTATTAAAATTCATAGCTTAATCTGCTGGCGGATAAGGCGAAGCGGATCCTGTGTTCTGATTGGCTACCCAAGCTGGCTTGTTCTCGCTAGTCATTTGCGTTTCGAGTATTAGTAATCCAAGTAGGCGAGGAGCCTCTGAGTTTACGTCTTTAAGAAGTGCGTGTTGATCACACACCTCAAAAAATACCTTGTTCCAAGCCCATAGTTTTGAAGATAGAGGCAACATGAAAAGGTGCAGAAGAAATATCCCGCTGGAAATTTGTTTTGTTGAAACTCTTGTAGTTTCTGGTTTTAATTATTTTCGCAGGAGGTCGTTCATTCAATACATGTATGAGGGAAACAAGACTTTTCTGGCTTTTCTGCTTCGTGCCCGGGGGCTAAACAACCAGTGACGGATCCAGAGGCGTTCACAGATAGAAAAACTCGTGGTCGTCTCCGTGAGAAGTAATTTGCCACAAAAAAGTTCAACACTCCTTTCTGAAACAAAGTTTGGACTTCTTCAATCAATATTTCCGGGACTGGTCCGCCGCTGACAACTCATAATATGGAGGCTAAACTACAAGTGATTATCCTTTCCCCCAAATCAAACATCCCTTGACAAAAAGGCAAGCAAGCTTTTCACGCAAATACGCGCTTTGGGCTCGCTGTTTGTAACAACAATGTTCGCGAGCCGGCTGGGGTCTTGAAACTGGGGTGCTATGAATCACGTTTTGACTTTCAAACGCCGAACGTTTCGCAAACTGCGCTATCTTTCCCTCCGCCAAGCCACGAAATTTAATTAAAAGCAGAGTTACTTAACGTTATTTTGAAATCTAAAAATTTACCTTCATCGTGAGAGGCGCTGCTTCTCCAAGCAAGACATCCTAAGACAAAAATCACTCCGACTAAATGTTTCACGGCCATTATTTTTTATAGCTCTCTTCAACTTTCATGTGACAGCGATCAAATTTCTGACTTTGGTATTAGTGTTACTGGTATGTTAGAACCCATTTCGCTCATGTTTTCCACAGGCGGAGTCAAGGCGGCACCCGGCAGAACACCGTAAATTCGCCAAACCACAGACGACGACGATGATTTTGTGATTAGAATCATCGGTGGAGCTATCGTTCTTGGAATGATTTGATGAAGTACGCATGTCACTCATGCTTCTCCGCTCCTGCCGTTGCCGACAGGATAACGCGGGCGCAATTCTTAACTTGACAATTAGAGTGCAGTTACCGTGCCAGTTTCCCATAGGTCCATCGTTTCTTCACAAAGACGATGGTATTACCTTAGTAAACCAAGACAGAACCACATTATTTTCAGTCAGTGGGAATGCAATAAAAAGAGAGGAGAAAGTAACCTGAGAAAACAGACGCCATTTCGCGACGCCACTAACGGTTTCCCCGCGAGATGACTTATGGAGATTTCTTACTATTACAAAGCTTGAAAAACTATTTCAGTAATCTCAGGGAACGCTTCGTAGAGAACTGAGATGACGCGTAAGAAGATTAGTCACATTTAGTAATCACTTTTTACGAGGAGTTCTGACTTGAGAGCTGGCTATACCTTATTGATACTACCCACCTCAGGGAATGTTATGACAAAGGGAAACAGGGTAACAATAACAGTAAGTTTATAAACAAATCCTTTCTCGAGATCAGAAAAGTAAAAGACGTTTTATGTGTTTAAAGGAGAGATATTCCACCGAAACAATTTTGAGGTGCGTGTTCTTAATGTTATGTAATTTATCAAGCATGAAACGCAGTGTTTCATCTCCAGATGAACCAGCGGAGTATTTTTGACGAACTTCGAGGTGTTTCATCTGGTGATAAAACACTGTCAAATGCTTGATAATACACCACACTTAAAGACAGTAGAAATCGCACAGCAGAACTACAGTTTTTCCCAGACGAAAACTTTTATTAAATACTATTTAGAATAATACATACACAAGAAATCTACTGAAATACAACCGAGAAAAAATTAGAATTTATACATATTTTACATTTTTGGGAATTTCTGTACACTGTAGTATTCTTGCTTATGAAACTTGCGTTAGATTCATCCAAAAGAATGTGTTGTGTTCGCTGCCAAATTGTACTGAAGAATTACAGATGTTTTTGGCAGAAAGTGATAAATACATATTACAAAGAAAACTGCAGGACAAATTAGGCTTAAATTAGAAAATTTATACAATTTTACACCATAAGAAATTCATTGCCGCTTATTGGCTGGGCCGAGTATCAGATTCAGTCGAAGGATTTCGTTCGTGTTGAACTTCTGAACTTCCTCCCAGCATACCAGACGGTGGTGAACTTAGTATTCCGTGCGGAGAAAGAAAACCGGGAATTACTGGCAGGTGCGTGACTGAAGACGTAATGGGACCACTAATAAACGAATCACCTGGACTTGCACTTTGCGGCTGCGGTGCCCGCAGTGGGGTTCTCATGCGGTTTCCGTACGGGTCAGAATATCCGGGGTTTACTGCCGGGTGCCTGACTGAAGACGTAACAGGACCACTAAGATGTAGACCACCTGAACTTGCACTTTGCGGTTGCGGTGCCAGCAGTGGGGTTCTCATGCGGTTTCCATACGGGTAAGAATATCCGGGGATTACTTGCGGGTGCGTGACTGAAGGCGTGACAGGACCACTAAGGTAAGGATCACCTGAACTTGTACTTTGTGGCTGCGATGCCAGCAGTGGGGCTCTCATGCGGTTTCCGGGGATTAATGGCGTGTGTATCACGGAAGACGTAACAGGAACACTAAATTGAAGTTGCGGATAACTTGGACTAGCACTTTGCGAATGAAATCCATACTGCGGGGATCGCAGCGTTTCATGAGGGAGGAGACTTTCCAAATTAACTGTGGAGTGGGTATGGGTTGGTACGCCAGGACCAATGAGATATGGATCATCTGACATCGTAATTTGCGATTGCAATCCATGAAGACGCGCTCCTTGCATTCCCCGTGGAGGAACAAATGCCGGGATTTCTTGCGGGTAAGTGACAGCGGAACCTTCGAGATTTAAATCACACGCCATTGTATTTTGGGGCTGAACTCTCTGTTGTGGCGGTTCCAGCATTCCACGCACAGGAAGATACCCAGAGTGAACAGGAGGGAGAGCAACTGTAGAAATGCCAGAACTGCGGGGATGCGGGTACCCTGGAATTGTACTTCGCGGTTGCCATGTCTGCAGTGGTGGTTCCAGTACTCCGTAACGGAGGGGATGTTCACTGGAGGGTGCCAGGCTGTGGAGGGGGAAATGCGACGTAGGAGTGGGAGCTCCTAGAGAAAATAAAATAAAAATTAAGATCCCACGAGTTAACATAAAGTTGCACTGTAAACGACAGGTTTCACACTCGTGTTCTTTACGTAGATTTCTCCTTTTAGGCTTTTCTAGCATTATACGCCTTCTTAGGTTATTGTAAAATATTAGAAATTAAAGCAACGCCCACTTAAGTCAACACAAGAAAAAGTCCAGTTTGGAGATATTAGAAGACAGACTGTAGGAGAAATGTGCCCTCAACGCTAGCTGTTCAAAAGGTAAATAGTGCTGTTCACTTGGTATCTCAATATCTAATGGGTAAAGGTGTCGATTTTTCAAATGCTTATCCTCTGGTTAGTGAATTTTCTGGTGGATAGCGCTATCCAACTATTAAAAACACCCGGGCCTGTGTCTGTGTATTGTAGTAGGGAAGACAGGACCGTTTAATACAAGTTGCAGCACTACGTTAAGTCCTGTACATTGTCTCATTGGTACTCAAGTCAGTCATGGTGTGACAAGCCTATTAAATTGCAGAACTTTGTTTTAGTTGTAACACGGATGGAAACCTTACCAGCAGAATGGAGAGGTACTGGAACTGGTCTCGCTGTTCCAGGATTGTGTGACGGCACGTCCTGAGTACTAAGGAGAGTGTCCCTCTAACAAGGGACCAAAGAAAGACTAATCAATATCGGTACGTAACCAAAGTAAACGTGTATCGATCTCCGGCTAACAATCATTTGACAGTTTTATGATCACTCAACTAAGTGTATGATCTGGGAAATAACCAGCTGACTCTTTGGATATACTGAGCATGAGCCTTTCTGTCTAAAGTTAACTCTCTCTAAGATGGATACCAACTCCAATTGTCCGTCAGAGAGTGGTGTCCGCGTGTTACTAGTATATAGAGTTTAGTTACAGTAGAATGATTGAAAAACTGCAGAGAAGAAACCAGCACCCAGTGTCCGTCTTACCGGCAGAGTTTTTAGCCTAATAGAGAGGTTAGTTACAGGGTTGTACGTCGAGTTCTAACACTTTTATAGCCAAGCGAAGTTGAATAACTCTCCTTTTAACACGTTTTTTATTGAGAAGGCGCCTGTTCCATGAAATCTCTCTCGGCAAATGTAAATCCTAGCCAATGTTTAATAACAATTTCGTGAATACAACCTCATTGCCTCATTAATAGACAAACAACCCACCTCGGGCCCGTCCTGCGTGACCGTAGACAGGCCAGAACCTCTGAAAAGATACGAATCGTAACCCGAGGATCCTCCACGTGTCAAGATGGTGGATGGGATACTGTGGTGATAGGTGTGGATATCAGGGGAGGAGTAATGCTGTGGATACTGAAAGTTATGAAGGGGGGTACCACTGAAGGGTGCAGCAGGTGTCAGACCGTGATTGGATCTATGCACTGTAGGAATGGACGGCACTGCTAACATTGGATCAGCTAAAGGCAGAAATAAGTATCTCACGTCACATGATGGTATAAAGGAAACCACCGATTTCAGACTGATAGACTTCTAGAACATTTATCTTTTCTTAATGTCATGCCCCCTCGTTTTACTACGTAAGTTTAAATAATTTGTGCAAACAACGCTCACTTAGGTAACACCAGAAAATATCAACATCGGAACAGGAGAAAGAGGATCATTTCCTTTTAAACTTCCTCAGTGACTGTTCTAACTATTAACATGCTTTTCGTTTCTGTATATGGCGGCAAGGCCTAATGCTCACGCCGGGTAGTACTGCGTAGAGTACCTTTTTGGTCTATAAACAGACTAATGAATAAACAGTCGTGGAAATCCCATTTCTTTCATGACAGGATGTAACAACAGCAACTTTTCGCATGTCTACACCGCAATTATTAAAAAAAGGAAATCTCGGAAAAGAAAACTGACATCTGACCGCAACGAACTCATGTAAAACTACTTGTTAGTGATCAGGGTGTTAATCGCCAATAGGTTTTGTTACCGATGATCTGTGATTGGGAAGGCGGGGAACTGGGGGAAGGGGGGTAGGGGACAAAAAAACCTTACCAGTAGGATTAGGAGGCGCTGGAAATGTTCCCACGGTGTCTTGTTCGTCAGCGGGGAATGGTGAATCGTGAATACTGAGGGGAGGAGTCTCGGCCAGAATCTGTGCGGGTGGTAAAAGAAAACAAGAGTTAATGAGACCCTGTTCCAGGCGTTCAGATAGTGGAGAGTGGCACATTCCACTATCTGAACTCCTGGAACAGGCTAGGAGTTCATGAGCCAATAAGATGATTGGGCAAAAAGAAACTCTTCTGTAAGTCATAGAAGCAAAACTATACAAAGACAGAACCTCAGTCTACTATTGACTGGTTTGATCCAAGCCTTCAGCTCCATGTTTGCCGCTTAAAATGCGTAAAAATGCTCAACTACAGCGATAACGGTGAAATTTTCAAGTCATTAAAAATCACAAGGATCCACATTTTCTTCCAAAATCCGGCTTGTAAAACATTCATTTACGAAAATCAGCAAGTTTTTTCAAAGTGCCCTTAAAACGATTAAATCGACTTCCCGAACGGTAAAAAACCTATGAAGGTCGCTTTTAAAACGAGAGGTATTTCCGAAATTGATCGCAGTCCGTTGCAATATTGTTCGGACAGTAACGTCCACAATTAAAAGCCATCTTTGTAACAGAACCGTTTTGGTATGACTAAAACTAAGATTAAGAAGTGAGCTATAACTTGTTACTATAAGACATATATTCAAATCCACTGTTTTGATTTGAATCAGTTTTTATGAAATCGCGACAAGAAAAAACAAACAGCCTGAAACTACTATGATACAAAACACATTTCCTGCATGTTCCCCCAGTTTCACCTTATGATATGTGAACTCCTGAAAAGGTGAAGAAAAAGCATACTTTTTTTTGGCAAAGTTGATTACCAACCTGTTGTTTTTTCGGCTGTGATTCATTTGATGAGTGAGAAAAGACACTGGGGTACCACTCTTTCCAATCTTCTTCTGATGGCCATTCATGTTCAGGCTTAGGGTTGCCGCTTTCCCCATAAACCTACAACAAATCACAAAATAACACAAACAACATTCAACTTTTAAAGCAACGTTTAAAAGATCGAAATTGTAGTCTAAAATGAAGGGGGCGTGAATACTCATCGGACAACTAGAATGTTACCCCCTCCCCTAGAGACCAATCTGGGTAAGGTTCAAGCTGATTTCACCCCGAAAAGAGGTCATTCTACAACACATAGTCAAACTAGTACTATAGAAATTTCTGCTTGCGACAAAACAGTTTTTCTTCTTTAATTTAGTCAAGTCTATTATTTTAGTCAAGCTAAATTTAAAACTAAACAAGAAATTTTGCCCATTTTTCAGTCCGTTCCAAGGCCTTTTCTAGTTCAAGGTCTTAAAATCTACATGCCTTCAACTGTAATTTCGTACGGTGAATGGTCTTCCGAGTAGTGGTGTGCCAGAAAACTTTCTTGTGAGTGTCTCAAAATTAGGTTGCTGCCGCGGGAAGTTACTGATTTTTCCTTGTGAACCCCAAATTTCCGAATCTTCGTGCGTTAGTGTTTAGAAATTACCTACATACAAAAAAAACCAGGGCCTCACGAATTAAAGTTCTGTTGAAAAAAGGAGTTAAAAATACGAAAAAGAGGGGGAAACGACAAAACGAACAAAAAATACATCTGACTTCTTAGACGCATGCCAGAAGGTGCCCGCAGCTTAAAGACCCGGCACATTCTACTTTTCAACCCAAGACTTTCAAAACAGCAAAATCGCACGATATACTCTACAAGTGTGAATTATTGAAACCTTGGAAAATTACTTTGATCAAGAGATCATGCATAATCCCATCATGATCTCTTAGTCTGATAAAATTCTCACAGATCGGTTTTTCCATAATAGTGGGGGTTGGGAGGGGAGGGGCAGAAAGCTGCAGGAACGCGAAGAAACGCTTGCTGCGCTGCCAAACAAACGGCGGGAAAATTCTACCACGTGGGTAGTTATATAACCAATCAGCTGTCGCCACGTCACAAGCCTTCTCTCACGCCACTTTGAATGACAGTTTGTTGATTTTGTAGTTTGTTTTTCACTTCAGTTGAGTTTGCTCATCAAAGAAAACTTTCAACGCAAAAATACTCAAGATGGACGCAAAAAGAATGAGAAAATACCGTAAAATGCCAGTTAAGAGAAAAATTCGTCTTATGTGCTCAGGAATTTGTCAAAGGATTTGTGCAAGCTAAAGGAAACTACATTTATGAACTTCAACTCTTTCATACAAGACACGAAGTGACGCAGGATTTGGTGTGTTCGTCGTAAAACTGGAAAACAAGTAACCGACAAAAATAGACAGCTTGTACCATAGAGGAGTGCTTTTAGCTATGATTAAATGTATGGTGTTAAATTTCAACCAAAACGTCTCAGAGGAATTATATTTTTTGTGGAACGCTATCTCAAAAACCTACGCTACAGTCAGATTATTTACGGGAGGACAAGCATTTACCGAAACGCAAGGGACATTCAAACAAAAGGACAGCTCTAAAAAGACTTTTTCGTTTTCTGGACTCTCAAAGAAACTTTACTTGAGTTTAGCTGATTTTACGAAAACCTGAGCGATAAAAGTGAAACTGTAAGTGGTTGACTTTTTTTCTCTTGATTTTTGTAAATTTTGTTTGTTTGAATTGTCGAACATGAACAGAACATAATTATTTTGACTTTATGCTTGTTATTCATCATTTTATAAAAAGTAATGAATTAAAATTGATTGAGAAATTAATACTCTGGAATTTTTGTTTTAATACATATATCACAAGTTTGTTAAGTGAGCTCATATCGAGTTGAACCAGACTCGAAGAGAAATTTCATATCTGCTCGCTGATCCATTATTTTGCACAGTGAAAACACCTTCAGATTAATTTACTTGTTCTCGGTTAAAGCATTTTTTTCGATTTAGTTTAATCAATTGAAAGGAATGAATTTGAAACGATACTTTGAATCTGCTAAAGTTTGTGATTTGTTTTCAAAAGTAAATCTCGTGTTTTGTCGAGTATAAAAATGACACAGAAATGAAAATGACGAAAGGCAAGAGCTGAGTAGAAATAAACTGTAAACAAAGAATAAAGAAACAAATTGCGATAAAATTGGAAAACTTACGTGGTAGGATGACCCCAGTCTAGTGATGTTGCCGTGCTGCTTGATGGCTGATGTGAGATTCATCACCTGCTGCGGAGTCATCTTCACATCTTGAAGCCACAGTCTCTCCAGGTGAGGAGCGCAGCTGAGATGTTTAATCAAGCTGTCTACTCCTGCACCCAGAAGAGGATTGCCTGACATGTTGAGCAACTCCAAGTTTGGTGCTTTTTTAAATAAATTGTTGATGAACTCCACAGCAGGTGATGCTGTTACATTGATATTCCAGAGTAATAATGTCTTCAGTTTGTGTGTTACTTGGATGTTCCTCATCAGAGACTCTGTTACCTCAGCATCGTACACTTCACCGGGTTTACCCCAAACCCATATCTCGTGTGGAGCGGTGATAAACTGCATCATCTCACTCATCAGTTCCACTTGTGACCTGTTCACAAGCCAAGCATGAATCCACCAAACCCTGGAGAGACCATGATGCTTTGAACAACAGCTGCTGCTGCTCTCTTCACTTGACTCATCACCATTCACGTTTATCTTCTTTGTTGTCTCTTGTTTACTAATAAGCGCCTTAATTATATCTATATCAAAAGGTTTCTCAATTTTAGCTAAATAAAGGTGAGTGTTGTTTTCTTCTTTCTTTAAAAAAAATTCATCAATCCTACGCCATGTTGAGTTGCTTAAAATTTCTGATGCTTTCTTTTCTCCTGCAGAGCTAACAATAACTGCGTTTAATTGTTGTGTTAAAATGATTAAATTACTATAGTCCTGCTCCTTTGTATTGTATGTCGTAAAAAAAACGTAGTTGGGTGTTTTTTCGGTAGTTTGAACTAATTTTTCCTGTGCGATAACATTTAGCTGCTTTGGATTAATTACAAGAACTTCTCCTAAAGAGGAAAGAAATGTAGTAAAGAGGTTTTTTCTTGTCTCAGCTGAGCAGTAGAAAAATAACTGATTACAAAGATTAATAAAATCTGTTTGTTCGTATGACAAGTCCTCCTGTGACGGTGTTTCGTTGTCGAATTTGAACTCTTTCAGTCCGCTCTTCATTCCAAGGTGAATCAGAATGTCGCGCGCGGCTTCTTCTGACAACTGAACAGCAAATTGTAAAACCTCGAACATCTCTTGCATCTTTTCAAGTGAGTCCAACTTCAAGAGGGAATTTGTACTTTCAGTCTTTTTATATGTCAGCTCTTCTCTCAGGAAATTCCCAGCCAGGTATTCTTGAACGGATTTGTGAATAAAGTACACGCCTTTTTCAGGATTCAAACTCGCCATATTTAAAACCTGACAAAGGCCGACTTCAATCAGCCTCTCGATCAAACTATAGCCAGCAGGTAACTGACTAACAGGGAAATGAAGCTGGCCTTGCAAAAGGGCTTCAAAGGCCATGCGTCCTAATGCGTATAATTCATCTGAGTAATCTTTAACAACCACTGATTCAGCAGACTGTTTTTCACGCAAGTGATCGAACAAAGTCTTGACAAACTGGGCAAAGATGTGTGCGCGTTCCTTAGGTAGTTCTTCGCGTTTTGTTTTTGTCCAGAGTAAGCACAACATTAACAGCAAAAGCGGAATTTGTGCTAGTTCGCTTAGGTCGTGCTCCTCCAAGTATTCAAAAAACTCTCCAACATCTTTATCATCTTTCAAAAATCCACGAGAGAACTCTACTTGGCGCTGATAATTAAAGCCGTCAATTTTGAATTGAGCATCACTAAAATTTCTCAACGTCTCAGCTTTCATTTCCCTTGAAGTAATTACAACACAACAATCTCTTAACTGGCTTTTTTTCCAGATTTTGAAGACAGGCGACTCGTTTTTTGAACTATAAACATACTCATCGTAGCCGTCGAAGATAAGCAAAACTTTTTCTTGATGGTGACAAACGTAATCATACAGGTTGTGTACGGAAATTGCACCTTTACTATCCAGCACTTCAGAAGCACCCAGAATGGACGGAACATCTTGAAGATTACTAACGTCACGTAACCTCACCAGAAGGACAAGATCAAATTCTCCTAATGTTTCTGAATATCTCTGCTGGGACCAGTCAAAAGTTACTTTCTTCGTGAAAGCAGTCTTGCCGATACCTACGTGACATTATGAACAAACTGTCAATACATCTTGAACAGATTTGTTTTACTTTTATCATGTGAAGTCAAGTGAAGTGGAATCTAAAATATTGAAATATGAATTAAGAGAATTTTTTTATTTCATTTCTTTATTTTTTTTACGAAATTATGTTTAAACTTTTTATCCCAGGTTTTTATTTCTTTCATCAAAAGCAGTTTCTTGGATAATTTTCTGTATTCTTTTTAGAGTATCTAATCATCAAAGTGTAGACAAAAAGAATTAAACTGAATTTGCTTTTGAAGCTTTCACATCTGAATCTACATTACGCACTAACCCTGGGTTATCCTAACCCAGCTTTGAACAACCCGGCCCTAAATAGTCTGTGTATGAAGGATTCATTTCCATTGTCTTTATCATGAATAATTTTGAATATGTAAATGAGATACTATTATCGATGAATGTAAACTCCAGTCTTTCGAAGCTAAGAATTTCAAAATGCCCCCTTAGAGGCAGGGAAACTTATTTTTGGCATAACTTTAGAGGCAAGGGCCACCCATATAAATATGTTGTTCACTCTGCATATATGGCTTAAAATTTAACCCCTGGGCCGAGTTGCGCAAAGCTGGGTTAAGAAAAATCCCGGTTAGTGCGAGATTTGAATTCAGATAGGAAAGCTTAAAAAGCATTTCAGTTTTAATTCTTTTTGTCTACAAGTTGATGATTGGAAGCTAAAAAATAACAGAGAAAATTATCCAAGAAAATGCTTTTGAACACAGAAAAAGAATCCCGGGTTAAGCACTAATCGGCCTTTGAACAACTGGACCCAGGTTGGTGCACACAATTCGGCCTTCAAACAACTGGGCCAATCTGCCAGTCATTAGTCCGCTATTGTGAAGGTTGCGGTGCAATTTTATCCTTGGAAGACTTTTTATTTTAGTTTTATCTTTTTACCATACATTTAATGAACTTGAATTTCAGATAAAATTGAGCCAAATATTATTACCATTATTACTACATTAATTGGGTTTGACAGCATGGGGAAAGATTATCCCACTTGGAAATGTACATGTCAGCAAAACACCCAAGAAAACTGAACATCACCAGCTGATAAATCGCTGGATTAATTATGCCAGTAGACTAATGGTTTCTGTGTTCTTCCAATTCTTACTCAATTCACTCCATTACCTGGCTGTCCATAAACCAAAATTCGCTTGGGTGCATGACGACGTTCTCTGTGAGCAAAAATCTCAGTGTAGTGGTTAAGGTTTTCTTGAATCACTCCCCTGGGTGTCCTGTCATCCATGATCCAAGACAAGTCTGTGTAGATCTTGTCAATATCAACAGCAGAGTTCTGGTCCCATGGAATAATTTTGACTTTGCTACTGGTTTCATAAAGTGATCGCAGCTGTTTCTGGCACTCCTCAAGGCATACAGAATCTGTTAACAAGGATTTTTTTGTCAATTCCAAGAAGTTTTTTTCAATATAATTTATAGCAGTTGATTGAGTTGATTAGCAACCCTTACCAGGAGGAGCAGACTGTCAATTTACAAAATTTTATAAGAGAAACAGCACATGGATGAATGATCACCAAGAATAAGTATTAAATACAACAAAGAAATGCTCAGAAAAAAAAAATCCAAAACCCTAACAGGAATCAAACCCACAACCTTCCAGATACCAGTAGGATGCCGTAACCACTGAGCTATGGGTGACTCATATGGTGAGCAGGTCATAGGTTTTTATTTTGTTGAGGTAGCATGGGTGGGTGGGTGGGTGGGTGGATAGACTGAACCTAAATAATACCACAACATCATTTTCAATTTTGTGGATTTTATTTATTTATTTATTTATTTATTTCCTTAGACAGTTCCTAAATTACTGAATAATTCAAACACAGCTGAAACAAAGACAAGAATGTTTTCAAGAAGTTTCATTTCCCATCTGCTCTTCCTTCAAAATATTTGACACGCTGCTAAATGTTTTCCCAAAAACATGTCTCACCAAAAAGAAGCCTAGTAAATCTCCAAGATAAGGCAAAAATGCGGCAGGGAAAGTGATAGAAGAAGGGAAGAGAGAAAGCAACAGGGAAAAGTTGAGGGGGCTGTGTCACTTTTCAAAACAACACTTATATTAATTTTATTTTAGCATAAGGAACAAAAGGCAGCGTAGTGTTGCACTTCCAGCATTTTAGAAAATTTGGGCCTATCTTTTTGGCCAGATAGTGACCAGAAAATGGATAAAAAAATGAGCTTCCAACAGGATTTTTCAGCAAAATTTCTGGAAAGAAAAAGAGGCTATGAAACACCAGGCAATAATAGACTGCTCTCTTGGCAAAGACATATCTCAAAATAATAAGAGAAAACTGTGCTCTAGAATTTGAATTTGAATTTGATCACTGTTATTTCTGCTGAAACCAGTGTTCATCAATCATTTAATCTGGAAGGGCTGTTTAAAACACAAAATGCCAAAATGACGAAATGGAAAAATGACAAAATGACGAATTAGCAAAATGACTAAAATTATTTAGAAATAATACATATTTTTCTTTTACTAGTAATCCTCCCTACTATTCTAGTTTAGGTAGAGTTGTCACATGCACTCCACACTATTACACAGCGATTTTTGCGCAGCCATAATCTGATTTGAAGGCTCTGCATGGTGACGAGATTGTTGTCACGCAGAGCTTGTGTGATGTACGCACGCAAGGTCATCACACGCACCAAAAATACCGTAAAATTCCGAAAATAAGCCCCTCCATGTATAAGCCCCTCCAAATATAAGGCCCCCAAACTCGTAACACAAACAAACCCTTCGTTAAATCGCCCCTCCAAATATAAGACCCCCAGGGACTTGTACTTGGAAATTGCCCTCAAATACAAAGTAAAGAAGAAAAGTATTATAAATTTGAAAAGCCCCCTAAAAACAAATTTTTCTTTTGGCCTTTGTTATGTGGTATTTTTATAATGTTAATGTATGATTTGAGTTTGAAACAGAGAGAAAAATTTGAACCCAGGATATATTGAAACAGTTTACTCAAAAAATATCTGAACAGAAAATTCATCACTATATTAAAAGTCAGTCACTATAGAACAGGGAATGTGACATACCTTCATAGTGAGGCCATTCTTTAAAAACAACAGGATCATTTAACATGTTGGACACAAGAGAAGCTGCCATGACAGAAGCAAATGACTTCCAGGACTCATCAGGAGTGTTGCTATCATCAGAAAAATGTGATATCCCTTTAACAATCACCCATTCAATGTTCATATCATGAGCTGCAGCAAACAGGCCTGTAAGTGGAAAGAAAAAACAGAGGATGATCCTTATTCAATCCACTTATGAACAAGAATCTAGCACAGCTGATTATGCTCAGAATTTTTCTCTGCAGTGTAGTGACTGAAATTTATAATCTTTTAAGCTCAACAATAATTTATGTTCCTGGCACACTATAGAATAATAATATAATAAACTGCAATCCACAATAACCTAATCACACTGTCACAGGGTTGTCAAAAGTAGCCAGCTGCCAGCAAAAATCGCCGCCTACTTGGTTAGTACCGCCGGCTACTCTGCTTCGCATTTCTTTAAGGATGGCGATTTTAAATAAAATATCCCTGGGCTGGCCACTTATTTTGATAACTCAGCCGTCTACTTCAAAACGTTATGACAACCCTGCTGTCACCATTGTGGTCCTATAGTCAAACATGATTGGCAATTTAGGTACAGTACAGTTTTTGCCATTGTATGATCACAAGCTGCTTCTGAGGGACAATTTAGAGTTTTAGACCTCAAATCGAATGTTACATCAAATTGTTACAATAGTAAATATGTATATAATCTTACCTTCCCCTTCCCTTTCAACTGCAATCACGTGCGATTGAGACATACGGCGTTGTTTGGTAATGAATTGACTACCACTGAATATGTCACTGTCACGGTGTACCTGTACTGTTTCTTCCCCGCCTGGATCTTTTAACGGTGGCTTCCAGCCTTCAGTTACAAACAAGTTAAGGTTGCCAATATTTCTTCTTACTGGAGTTGTGAATTCTTCAGTTGACAGTTTAGAGGATACCACTACATCTCCTAGCTTAGTGTCTTTTGATTTTAAACCCATGCATTCGCCAACGGAAAAAGCAGCCTTGGGTCTCAGTTTCATCACTGCATTTTTAACAACATTTTGAGAGCCACCTGGACCAGAAGAACCTTTATAACATCTCATCAAAGCAACTTTCAGTGCCTCTTCTCCAGTTTCTGCACCCATGGTCCCAAAGTACACGTATCCCAGGGTCTGGTCATAACTTTTAAAAGAATTTTCCAAGAAAGTATAACAAGCTAAAAACTCGCAGTCTTCAACTGTCAGCAAAAGAATGTCAACAGGAAGCTGGACATCACTCCAAGGGTTTGACTTGTTTGGAAGATCACTCATTTTAGGCACTTCAATACTCAGAGGAAGAGGGGCATGATTTCTTGACATCTGATGATCAGGATCAGCACCTCCTTTTCTTTTAAGGTCTTGATGCTGCGCCATTGAGTCTCAGTTAAAGATTTCCCTAAAGAGTGTTAATTTAATTTAATAAGATCACCACATAATTTAAATAACTTCAACAACTTAATTAAAAAATTATGAATTATCAATAAATTACTTTATGTCACTGCGAGCTATATCTTTAAAGAGTCAAACCTCTTATTATATTAGTGGACACCACTCTACAGTGACCAGGAGAAGTGTCCACCTACAGGTAAAAGATTGAGGTGTTTGCCTCGCAAAGGTCAAAATGTAGAGTTTGTAAGTGGCCTCAGTCCATGACAAGTTAGTGTCCACTTTTAGTAGAGGTGTCCATCCACTTCACAGAGGTCAAGAAAGGTGCATAAATATGCAAATTAACAGTGTTTGAAAGTTCCTGGGTCCACAACTAGTTCTTGCTATGGAAAGGCCGGGTCTGTTTCACAAAGGTCAAAATTATGCATCATTTGTAAGTGTCTGCAGGGTCACCAAGCAATTTATGAGACTGATTAATCCCACTTAAGGAAGTGCGACCAAAAATGCATACTTGAGTATAGGCGAATCTTTGCTGACCTCAATTTCATTTTTTATCATTAGCATATGAGTTAACTTATAGAAGCCATAACTGTTTATACCATTATTTTACTAAATTCAAAAGTTGAATTTAAGAGCACATTTAACCTTGAGCAATTTGTGCAATTTTCAGCTCTTTCCAAGCAATACTGAAGGAAATATCAGCCATCAAAAACTGCAAAATTGCTGGGTGGCAAAAAAGTTAATGAGCCATACATTCTTTGTAAAATTTTGAGTTTTTAAAAGAGAATTCCTCCGAAACCATTTGGTATATCGAGCTCAATTTTTCAGAGATATAACTGAAATTGTTATGCTCTTTCAATATTCAGCGAGTTTGTTTTATTAGCTCCATAAGATTAAGTGATAAGCATATGTTAATGAGGCAAAAATTAAACTGTAAACAATTAAAGATTCGCCTATTAGTGACTGGGACCATGACTAAGTCTATGCTAAGAGGAGGGGTCCATTACTAGCAAAGGTTTAACTGTACCATGAGGTTCAAACAAATAGAGATCAAGGCAATAGAAATGTTTGGAATGTTAACAGTTTCTGGCCACTGTACCATCACTGTGTAAGTTGTAATCAATAGTATATCAATGAATGCATCTAAATCAAATGCGAGGTATGGTAATTAATAATACTCTAGTGATGCATGAAAGCTTTAAAGCTTACAATGTTAACTCCCTTTGCCATTTTACTGCAATCATTATCAATTTAATAAACTCAGCTAAATTACCTTCTCCTTTGATATAGCTTCACACCATCTAACTTATTGTATGTGTTTAATATTCAACTGGCATAAATCCTGAAAATAATAAAAAGATGGTAAAGATGACATCAAAATATGAGATAATAAACCTATTTTGAAGCCATGCAAATTACTACAACAACACCATGGATTGCCCCCAGGGGAGGGGGTACTCAACAAAGTTCTATGGGAGGCTCCACCTTGATGTCCAACCCCTATAAACCCTTTGAAATACCATTCTGACAGAAAAGGTACCCCTTTCGTACACCTTCTTTTGACAAAATATGGTATGACCCCTTTCACATACCTAGTTTAAAACTTTGTATCCCTTTTTAACTGCTGATAAGGCACTTTAAGCAATTAGGTCCAATGATCCGCACAATTGGGTCTGCTTTAAAAGAATGCATAACAAAGTCAAAGCTGAAATCAAACAGGCTATTGAATTATTTTATAAAAACAAATTTAGCGAATCTGATGGCAACCTGCATAAAACGTGGAAGCTCATAAATGAGCTTACTTCAAATCAATCTGGCAGGTCTTCTGTTAAGGAATTATAAGTCTGAATGGAGTTTCTATGACTTTAATTAAATACCTCTTTGTCAAACACTTTCGATGATCACTTTTCTACAATATTGGCCCGAAACTGGCTTGCGAAATACCTTTAAACAATGGCCCCAGTTTTCAGAAATTTAAATATCTCTGGCATTTAAAGCGATAGTAATCAAGTGTTGTCTCTTTTTAAAAACCTGAATAAATCTGAAAGTGCTGGTCCAGATGGAATATATAGTCAGCTTATTATAGATTGTGCTGATTTAATTGCACCTCATATTATTTCAACTTCATTTAATAGTTCTTTAGCTAATGGTATATTTCCTGAGGATTGGAAGTCCGCAAGGTTTACTCCTCTATTCAAGTAAGTGGCAAAAGAAGTGACATAGACAATTATCGTGCAATATCTGTTATCTCTACAATTGCCAAAGTATTTGAAAGAATTATCTATTATCAACTCTATGCCAGTTTATCGGATCATAATATTTTGTCTAAGCACCAATCCGGATTCCATTTGCTCCATTCAACAGTTACAGCCTTATTAGAGGCCTGTAATATTGATATAGGTAACGTTAACGCTTTTGCTTTTCTTGACCAAAGAAAACGTTTGACACAGTCCATCATGATATCCTAGCTATTGTCTAAATTACACCTTTATAGTATATCAGGTGTTACCCATAATGTTTTTCCTCCTACCTTATTACAGGAAATTAACGCTCCATAAAATTAACGCAAATTGTTAAAATTCACTAATTTAAGTAGCGTTAATTTTGTTGAGCGTTAATTTCTGGATGTTAATTAAGTGCAGCGTTAATTTCCGCACTCTTAATTTCCAGTATTTTAACCACAATTTTGAAACCTGTCCAGACATTCTTGACAGCTAAAAAACATTAACTACAAGCTTTCTTTCTTTCCATTTTTTCATCTTTCACAAAAGCTAAGGCAAAGGTTTACAATACTTCGAGTTCATCTTCATCGTTATCACTGTCAGAAGTGATGTCAGCTCAGTTTTGTACAGTTTTGAATTTTTCTGCATCCAGTGTTGAAATAAATTTGTTCCAGTTTTCACCACCAACTGTCTCTTAATCACATAAATTTCCTTCATTATGAAACTCTACCTTCTCTTTCGCGTTAATTTTCTTTATTCGAAAGTCGTTTTCCATTAAATTCGTGTTAATTTAAGTCGCGTTAATTTCCAATACCTTAATTTCATTGAGCGTTAATTTCCTATAATAAGGTATTTAGATAATCCTACTCAGAAACCTCTTGTCTATGGTTTATGTTTCAGAATGTTACACCCTCAAGTGTGGCATTCCCCCAAGGAACAATATTTTAGGGCCTCTACTGTTTTTGCTGTATATCAATGATTTTTCCAGTTGTCTGTTTCATTTTGAACAAAGAATGACTAGTATGTTGATGACCCCTCTGACTTATTTGAAAGGCAATATCCACTCCATTCAGTCTTCCTTGAATGAAGACTTGCTCAACATTAATCACTGGCTTATCGCAAATAAATTAATGTTACATATGACTAAAACTGAATTCAAATTAAACAGCTCAAGGTAAAAGCTTAATAATCTAACTTCTCTGCCTTCCTTAAATATAAATAATGTTCTGATCAAACATTCTCATTCCTCTAAGCCTCTTAGCATGCTTATTGATGAAAATCTAACATGCGAAAACCATGTTGACACTATAATACACTATATTAAAGAAAATTGCGTCTGGTTACCCATCAATCATTGTTTGCCCCCTGCCGCCTTACATGCTGTCTATTACGACCGCCAATCACATTTTGACAACTGCAGCATGCTATGGGGTAGCTCGCACGCCTATAGGGTATTGAGCACAACCTCCTCCTATAGGCCATTATAGGGAGTACCCCCTCCCCCCTCCACCTGCCACAAGGGGCAATTGCCCAAAATAATTATGTGGTTCAGAGATATATCATATCTACATTAGCACACTTATAACAAAGGTCACAGAGAATATAAACTTACTTTCAGGAGCACAACTTTAATCTTGTGTTATCAGGTGGTGACATCTTCAGCATCTTGGTAACTGATCTACAAAACTGAAAAAAATATCATGCACTTAACATCTTTTTACGCAACGGGTGATTTTAATATTTCTGATTCAACCTCAAATAACACAAGTGATCCCTGCAGTTAGTTCATCTCCTCTTCCCTATTTTTTTTTGGCTTACATTTCACTACGATTCCACGATTTGACTAAAAGAGATATCAAATGGTCTTTGCCATAATTTGGCGGCACACTACAGCAGTGCATAAAATAATGTAGTGACTAAACTTGTCTTGCGAGCATCAAACAAAAATAACAATTTTTCCACCAGCAACAACCTATTTTTTTACAAGAAAATGCCTATTAATAAAAGTAATTATAACAAGCTTAAACTTACCTTTCCCAGATGACCGCGATGTTGATTTCACTGAGTGTTCACCATCACCTCAGTGCACACGATCTGGAAGAAAGAATTTAGTTCATTAGATTGTTAGCTAGACAAAGTGTAAATGTTAACCAAAGGGAGAAAGTTCACAACTTACATGTAAATCAGGGAGGGAAACTTACCTTACGAACAGACTGAAACAGAACACTTCTGAAGGCTGGATATCTTCGAAAATCTTCACTTTGAATAGTCCCAGTGCCCGCTCGGTTAACCTGCAAAAATTCCCCCAAATATAAGCCCCCCAAACCAGTAACGCAAAAAACCCTCCGTTAAATCGCCCCTTCAAATATAAGCCCCCCGGGGGCTTGTACTTGGAAAATTGCGCTCAAATACAAAGTAAAACGAAGCATAAACGGTAAATTTACTTCCAACTATAAGGCTAGCCCAATCGATTTTGAAACGCAAATTTCCCTCCATGCATAGATAAGCCCCTCCGAATATAAGCCCTTCCAAAAATAAGCCTCTCAAAAAGGGCTTTTGAGAAATATAAGCCCCGGGGCTTGTTTTCGGTATTTTACGGTATTTTAATTTGAGCGAAGCAGAATCCTGCAGATATTGGTGGTTGAACCTAGAAAATCACACGATTTAAGAAGCGCTGCAATAGTTAAACTACTTCCATTATCTTCTTTCTCTGTATTTCATTTTTAAAAATTTAGCAGTTTTGTATATCTATTGCTGAACAAATGACGACAAGAACTGATGCACTTATGTCAAATGGAATGACTCCCGAACGACGTTACAAACAAATGATTCTATTTACATAAAGCGTCAGCCCCGTTACAGTTTGTCACCCGATCGAGTTAAACAGTCCGTTAGTTTGTTAATTACTCTGATCATTATAAAACTATCTCACCGTAAGAGCCAACTTTAAAGATCTCAATCCGCCCAGTTTTCAGAAGACACGACTGAGGAATGGAAAATCATGCCTTATTTTATACTGGCCTCTGGATACTGGCTGCCTGATTACATGAAAGACTATGAAATCCGATTGAAAGGGTACTGTAAGCTAGCCTGTGTAACAAAAAAAAACACTCTTTGGTCTTTTACACTAAGTGGAAAGCAAGCTTATAACGAGATCATATGATGTCGAAATCTGGCAGTCTGACATGACTTCAAGAGGAGCCCTCCCGAATTGGTCAAATTATCCTCTGTGATTAAAAACTAGTAAGAATGTGTGAATGCAAAATTACAAACCTCTTTCCAATTGCAGATGATTACAGCATAAAGCTAAAAAGAAAGAGAAAAGAAAGCCACAGGTTAAGCTGTTTAAATTTACGAGGCCTGTTTATAGGAAGTTGTACTGTCTGTACTAGGTACGCATGTCGCTAAGGCGTGGAACGCGGACTTAACGTAAGATGAATAACTTTTTATCTTTGAATTAAAATGTGAAGTGACCGCAAATTGAAAATCGGGAGGTTTGATTCTCTTAGTGTATCAAAAATAGGCGCGTTGCCCTCTTGCAGATCTCTTGTTAGAGATCGCAGGAATACACAGCTGAGAAACGACTGTGGTACTCCAAATAAAAGAGCTCTAAATGGCTAAAAATAAAGTTTAAAAATCTAAAACAAACCTTTAAACTCTATGGAGGAAGTCGTAAGAGAAAACGAAGTTCAGAGCGGGTCCTTGTTCGGAGTCAAGCATCGCGATTCTTTCCTACTGAAAGAAACAATTGATTATGATTGAAAAGGATTCCGCATTCCTCGGTAGAAGGGTATTATGTTGATGTTAAGGATCCATTCGGATCTCAGAGTCACACGATTTAATTTATGAGCAATAACCAATTTAGAGTACATGTTATTACTTAATGAATATACATCTGTTTAAACACACAATGTTGGTGCTGTGTGTTCAGAAGAAGAAACAGATCTAATTATTCAAGGTCAAGACACGGCGCCATCGTCAACATACCTTTACGACTTCATTGATGGGGAGACCGACTTGTTAGCAAATTCTTCAGTTTCACTTGAAGTAAATTTCAAAATTGTGAAGAGGAAACTAAAAATCGAAGAGAAAATACTGATGTGAACGATCGCTTTGGATGAAATCGAAATTGACTGAGATTTATAAGTAGTTGGGTGCGGCTGTCTACAGAGTCACTGAGCTACTCCTGAGATAATTCACTGTTGAGTGCAGCATACTACACACAAAAGTTGATGTTCAGTTTGTTTGAAATGCCTTAAACACTAAGAAGATAAAAAATCGATAACAAACCTTTATATGAAGTGCGATTACTGAGAAAACCGGCCGCGAGCCTTACAGAAAGTCTATGAACTAAAAACTAGTGCGAAATACTACTTTTTTAAAGTGCTCGCTTTGCGTTATACGATACGTACTTCATCTATTGATCATGATTGAAAGTTGTGGGCAAATAGAATCGTGTTGATTTGCGGATATAATTACGACACTTGTTATGTATATGACAAGGGAATAAACTATTAGAGTTTACGCAGAATCACGCGACTTTTATTAATACAACCAAGTAATTTAGCACAAATCAATCTTTTTTGCTCCATTTTATTATTCTTGCATTTCATTCGAACGCAGTTCATATATAAAAAAAGTGTGTTCAGATGAAAACAGAGGCCTTGATTATAAAGAAGTCTAGAAAGAGGTCAAGACTTACATGACGTCGCAAACAGCGTCCAAGATGCCTTCACGAGCTGGGAGATAAAAATAAACCCGAGGTCATGGTAATTTTACCGCTCAATTTTCGCGTAGAAATTTTCCAACTTGAAGCAAAGTGAAATTTTTAGTGAAGACGCTAAAAGTATGAGAGAACAAGTAATGGATCAGGCAGAAGAGAAATATCGCGTCAGCAGTGAGTGGGTGGATCATACATCCGTTGCGTCTCAAAGATAATAGGATAATTCACGCGAATCTTGTGAATTAAATTCCAGAAGTCAAGCAATTTTAGCGAAAAAGAGTCAGAAACACAGCAGTTCTATGTCATGTTATCTTAGCTAATTCACTTTACTCGGTGAACGTCACTGCCTACACTGCATGCAGACAGTAACCGGCGACCATTGGACTGATCATGAAGAGATATGACTGACAAATATGACATAATTTTCGAAATTTACCATAAATAGCGTCCATATGCTTGCACCTTAAAAGGCCCATTGTTATGTTTTTTATGAGCGAAATGTTTCACCGTTATCAAGTCTTAATAAGTAATGTGTACATTTAAAGCGTAATGTACGTCGTTAGCGGAAACTGGATATTACTAAACCCAAAAACTGTGAAAATGGAGAAAGATGGAGGCCGCCGATTCCTGTCCTCGGGACTTTCTAGCCCGGGGGGGGCACTGCCATATATGGGCTATATAGGTATGTGCCGCTGTGAAGGGTATGGTTTTCAAGCAGTTTACTCTAGGATAGGGTATATAAATCAGAGCGTTTGGGTCTGGAATAGGGTATCATTTTTCAGGAAACTGATCAGTTGGTTGAAGATTTTATCTAGACTGGGGAAACAGCTACTCTAGGATAGGGGGATTTGGGGAGTTTACTCTAGTATAGGGTAGCAAAATTCAGCTGAACTAGCTCTGGTATAGGTTAAGGATTCCAGGGTCCCAGCGGCACATCCCTACCCAGAAATTCCTAAAGTACCTCCCCCGGGCTTTCTAGACCTTTCTACAGAGAGTTAAAAACGCCAGACAATGGAGGCATTGAGGCTCTTGCATACCTGCACTTCAGGAACAGACAAAAATGAGTCTCAGTTTATCAGAGTTTAAAGTCACTGCCACGAAGCAGTGAACATATAAAACCATCTGATAAGACGAAAGCAAGTCAGCCAAGCTTAACATACTTATACAACATTTTAAAACGTTCTTTACAAAAGCCGCACACCTCAGCTTAGTTATCAACACAGAATGCCTTAAAATTGAAATAAAGAAATCATGTGTTTTAACACATGATTGTTTAAAAACAAACCTGTGTTCCGGAGCCAGAAGTGGAGCGTCCGTCAGAGGATGCGAAGATGTGAAGTGCACACTGCTTCGTGGAACAACTGCCTTATGCAATAATTTTCACGAATGACGTCAACGTCTGGGAACCAGGTGCTTCAGTAATTAAGGTCACGCGATATCTAACGGACAATTGGCTATTCAATATACATAATGGCGTACCGTGTAGCGGGAGTTCCGTTTGTTTAATCACTAGTATGCGAAATGGACGACACGAAGTTCTGTCACCAATTAATCATAACTGTAACAACATTTGTGATATTTTAGGCCTTTTTTAAACTTAAAACACAAGAAAGTGCGAGATCTTTTTGCTAGCAGTGAAAAAAAGGCATTTAATTGCGCGCGTGCTGTCCTACTGTGCTGAAATAAGGACAGTTGATAGCCAATCAAATTTGAGAATTTTGTTATAGTTATGAACAAAATGGAAATAAGGAGTCTGCTTTGCTACGGATAGAAATTCCCGTTTCCGATCACCACCATTCACTGTTTCATGCCGCAAAAAGGATTGTCCGTCTTCAAGTCAGTTCAGAAGAAGGAAAAGAAAGTCGTCGACTTGTGTTGACTTCTTTGATAAAGGTGAAATTCCACGTCGTATTCGTATTTCAAATACACCAGGAGCCGCATATAAAACAAGGGAAAAACTTTGGCAATCTTGCAGCGGTGAAGAATAAGAAAGCACTTTGGTTCGAAGCCTGTGCGTTCAAACTTCGTTTGTGAAAAGGCATTGGGGGGGAAGCCCGAATAAAAAGAAAAAAGAAGGAGAAAAGAACACGATGGCGCCCTTCACCTTTAAAAAACAGCTAAAACCACGGGACAATTTGACACGTTAGGATGGTGGGATACTGATTGGTTTACATGACGGTCAGTTTGCTTTGACCCTGGGGAAAGCCCCTCCTTACATTTTCTCTAAAGACCTTTAAAGTTTAATACGGACACCCAGTTAATAAGGACACTTTTTATGGCCCCATCAGTGTCCGTATTAACAGGGTTTCATTGTGTTTCATTTATTTTTGCAAGCGGAAGTTACACTGTCAGGCGCGGATCTAGGATAAATACTGACTGATTTCCTAAACGAGCGCCGAAGACGCAAGCTTCTAGAGGGTCCAGTGGCAGGCTCCCCAGGGGAATTTTTGGATTTTTAACTCCTTTAAGTCCTCTTTCCTGCATCGGTTTCCGAGTCATTTGGACGGGATATTGGCCAGAGTTCATTTTGGAAAGTGTTTTATTTAATTTTTGTTGAAAATATATTTATTATGAAAAATCTGACCGATTTCCGTAAAACGCTCAAAATTCCTTACAGTCTAGAAACTCTTTAAAATTTCCTACATTAGACGAAGAGTGAAGAATACACTGTAATTTGCCATTCTCATGCAGGATCCTCATTAACACGCAGGAGGGTGTAATAAGGAGCGTTCAATTTTAACTCAACGACTCCATGACGCCGTCTTATTATCCAAAAATACTTTTGGGTTAAGAAATTCTATAAATCGAAAATAAGTTGATCATGCGAAGTCAGCCGACCGTCTTAATGCATCATTAGTTAATATGCATGGGTATAAACAACACCTTTCTGACGGCACTTAATGGTAAAAGAAAACGTATTTTTTTGTTTGTCCGTCATTGTTACTCCAAGTAAAGGAGCCTGTCTAGAAATATCGTCTGGAATTGTCTATTACTAACATTTATTGCAGCAAATGAATTGATTAATCACTAGAATCAATGAAACTTGTCATCAGCTTAAAAACCCTGGCAGCTAGATAAATACATTAAAATTGATCTCAAACGATCCAGACCACACTGTCCACACTTTCTCACTGCAATCAGCTGAACTGTCATCCCGCAATTTCACCAAAGCAATTCAGAACTGCTGCGGGCGATAAGATGATTAGCTTAACAGCAGCGGTCTTTACCTTCATCATTTTCAGCTGTTCCTCTGCCACAGATCCAGGGATTCAACTTAATATTTATTCCCAGGAAGAAGTCAGTGGGTGTTATGTTTATAATCAGACACTGGGCGTCTGCTTTGATGTAAAGAACGGTTCAATAAAACTGACGCGGAAAAGCACTGGAACTGTACTAGCCATCTTTCAAGATCTGGGCCAAAATATTACTTTGTATCAAGTTTTGGACAAGCCTTTCATCAGGTACGTCACGTGCTAAACATGGTTAAGTTCAGTTGCAGGTTCGGCCACTGACTTCAACGATTTCCTCATGCCACGAATCCAGCATGACTCTTAAGTTCAAATTTGATCAGGGATCCGAGGTTCAGAGGTTTGTTAGACCGGGAGGACTGCTTTTTTTACCTTTGTAAAATAAAACTAATTTACTTTAATTTTGTGGGAAAAGTTTGGCGCAATGATACAGTGAACCCACCACCCATATGACCTAATGGTAATGCCACATGTGTGTTTGTTCTCCCCCTTTCCCCTCTCCTTGAAAGCCAGTATTTCTAATTTCACGTTTATCCGCGGAACATGGTCGACGAAGAGCCACCTTGTGGATGTGTTACCACTAAAATGATTTTTTTGTGTTCATCAGTGGTTAACGTATAGCAATCTTGTAATCTGGGCGTCGAATCATTGCCGTTTCACGACATTTCTTCACAAGCCTTGCTTCGCTTTGTCTCAGTGAGTCACCAACTCAGAGGCGAATAAAGATGAAGTACCGGCGGCAGGTAGCGTCCAGAGAGGCGAATCAACACTATCAGATTTATATACACCTTGGATAAGTTCCGCTGTTTGGGGGCTTGTGTTCGCACTAAATCCCGTTGTTCAGCAGTGGCGCTTCTTTTCTCACAAATCAGTTTGAAATGCAATGGGCTTGACGTTGTGGCTACACAGGGTGATTTATTCAAAATTCAAGACTTAGAAAAAGAAAAAGCCAAGAAGGGCGTCGAAAAGATAGATAGATAGAGTTCAAAAGAGACATACACAAATATAACAACATTCAACGTACAAAAAACTTACAGAACTTCAATTAGGGAATAAACAATCACTCAAGCAAAGTGCAAAGTTCTTGGCGCCCTTATTATTTTTCTGATTAAAAGACATGAATGCCAGTGCAATTAGCTCTCCCTAGATATTTTAACACGTCTCTTTCATTTTCGACGACATGTTCAAGATGTAGCGATGGTTACCATAGGTTTCGAATTAAGAAACAGAATGGGTTGGTTCTCAGACCCAGGGTGGTACGATTCAAGCTCAATATACAGAAAAGAGAGGCAATGATTTAGCATTAAGTGAAATATTTAGACGAGAAAAAACAGGTACACTTTAGCAAAATTATATTTTTTTTTTTAGTTTTTCTCTTCTAAAATAAACAATGAGCCATAATGGGAGAGAATCGGAAAGCTAATTATAAGAATCCCTATGAATTCCAGCTTGAAATCAATGGACATTTAAACATGCATGTTTGTCTGGTTTAAAACATCCTGCAGCTAAAATCAATTATGACTAAGTTACTGGGGTTTATCTTTCCACAGATCAGGTCCCTTAATGGTTTATCTCCCTGATTATGTCCTGAGGGAACCGGATCACATGAGAGATTTCGCACAGGGGATCACTTCCCAGAGTGCAAATGGGCCAGACCCGTTGTTCTGGAGCCAATACAAGGAAGCCTTGCGCGCTCTTCGCAAGATCCCGGAGCTCTTGCTGATTGACCGGGCAGCCACAGCGTTGAGAGACAACAGCAGATTGCTGGAGATTCTCTCGCCTTTTTATGGCCTTCTTTACAACCTGCTGATGACGTCAGGGGTAGAGATACCACCAGAGCTTCAAGCGCCTGACATGGCAGATGAGACTGCTGACCAGTATGGAGCAAAAGAGACGCGCTGCTCGCAACCCACGGAGCATGACTGCCGTGGTATGTGCGGTGCAGGATGCAACTGTTGGAAGTGGGTCTGTGGCGATTGCTGTTTCCACCAATCCTGTTACGAGCATGACCTGTGCTGTAAGCATGCACCCTGGAGTTCGTATTGCCTCCTACCTTTTGGCATATTTGACGGGCTTCGCATATCATGTGAAAGATTCAACGATTACGAAGCATGCCTCAAGACCACTTCATCATTTTCCTCGTGGTTTCAGGGATGGAAATAATCCGTCAATGTTAAGGCAACCAGTCAATCCAAGGACTGATTTTGAGAATTACTGGATCAAGTAAATAGAACAGTAAACAAGAAAAATCGATCTTTCACTCCTAAATAGCCAGAGTTAAGTTGACTTAAAATACTAAATGTCATTTTGCAAAATACTGTAGAACCCAAAGGGCTGCTGAAGAGGTTTTATTTAAACGATCACAAATTAAGAAAAATTTTTGTTTGTGGAATCCGGAATCCTGAGCTTTGAAGTCCTGAACACAGCAGAGCTCAAGGAATTCGGAATCCCAATAACGATTGCAATCCGAAATCAAGTACCTGGATTCCGGAATCCAAGACTGTCTTGGATTTATTTTACATGGGGCGACAGAAAAAAGAGACTTAAGGAGTGTAAAGGTGAATTCTTCTGTTAGGGTTTTTCGAAACTGTAAGAATTACTTTATTCGAGATAAGGTTTGTTCTTTACGATCAGACCAAAGACACTTTCCTTTAATATTAGCTCATGGGTCTCAATGTAATTTTACCACGGCGGGAAGAGTTTTGTTTAAAATGAATCACTCTACATGTACAAGAGCCATAATGGCATAATGACATGTACCGTGTTTAGTAACAAAGAAGGGAAATAAAGTTTCAGGTTAATGCTTGCTATGGGAATAACATCAACGTCTTTTTTAAAAGCTTGTAACGCCTAGAAAAAGATCGAATGTCGAGTGCACACAGTTAATTTCTATGTTGTCTAAGTTATTGTATTTGATAGTTGCTAATTTACCTTCGAATTCGTACTACATATATACAAAAATTTTCGTATAATAAGCAATGTAGGACCCCCCCAAAAAAAAAAAAAAAAAAAGTTGCAATCGTTACAACATAGGGCTACAGGCTGCCAAAATTTAATGCAGGTGCATGTAGGTAGAGACGGTTCGTTCAACCAAGACAGAAAGTTAAAACTTTCTGCAGGGGGAATGGGAGTGGATCTTTCAAAGAAGCAAACGACATGACGACATGACTGCTTCGAAACTGGATTGACGTAATCCCGATGCACCCCAACCACAACCCCCACCCTCTCCAAAAATTAAATATCTTGGGGTTGAAGTCCGGCTTTGACCGCTACTGCAGTAGTCATAGTTACGCAAGATTTGAGTTCATGGCTCTGACCCTTGGCCATACAGCCATATGATCTGCCTTCCGACAGCTAGGGTTTCCCATTTAATTTGCTCAATTTCCAATTCGTTTTCTAATTTGACCGGGGATAGCCGTGATTTTGCTGGATAACTAAGCGACAACTCCTTGATATCTAACTGCTCGTCCACTGTCAAACAAATTCATTTCATTTAACGCATCCAGTCTAGATAAATGTCGTCTTCTCGCTAACAAGATCATCATCGAAGTCTGAATCATTCGCTTGGAACACATCATCATTCGAATCAACTGCGCCACGTGTGTACTGTTCCATTTCTAGTCGCTCATATGACATGCCTTCCACGCCCTCGAACCCAGTCTCCTCTAAGCTCTCTGGCAGTGGTTTATTCAGGGTCTCTGGTAAAATCAGGCTGAGTAACCCAGCAGAAAATGAACACATCCCGAATATCATCATGGGAAGGGGGCGTGTGTAGATTCCCTAAAATGCGACAAAAAATTTTATATTACACTGCACTGTTAAGGTACTGTAAAATTCCGAAAATAAGCCCCTCCATGTATAAGCCCCCCAATCCGGTAACGCAAAAAAACCCTCCGTTAAATCGACCCTCCAAATATAAGCCCCCCGAGGACTTGTACTTGGAAAATTGCCCTCAAATACAAAGCAAAACAAAGCAAAAACGGAAAATTTCCTTTCAATTATAAGGCTAGCCCAATCGATTTTGAAACGCAAATTATATAAGCCCCTCAAAAAGGGCCTATTTTACGGCAATTAAAAGATGAAAAAGGAAGTAAGTGGGACTGACAAACCAGAAAAAGAATTCAAAAGTTTGGTAAACAACTGCAAAATTTTGAATAAGAAAACTTACCAAGAAAACAACAAAAGGAGAGCAAATGCCACCGATTCTGGAAGCCATGGAGCACACACCCATTCCAACATTCCTATAAAATAGTATGAACTATGAATAATATAAATTTCAATTAAAAAGCTTTTTTCTAACACTTCCTCCAATGGCTTGTGATTGGGCTTTAACTGATTCATGTCAGGAGCCGATTACTTATCGGCCCCAGTTCATATACAGGACTCTGGGGTGTCTTTTTCAAGAGCAGAAACTCTAAGAATTTAGACTCTTCAAGAAAACACCTGAAATTCAGCGTAGTTTTGACAGAACGCCTTTTAAGGAGAGCTAATAAGCTGATTTAAGGACCTTAGGTTGATTTCCTATTACTGAGTATTATGTTCAGTACTATTTTCTTTCAAATTTTAAAAGCCATGTTAAAACATATCTTTTTAAACAAGCTTTTAATTTGTAGTAGAGTATGTATTTCGTTTATTTTAATAAAAACCTTTAAAAACCTTTACCTGCTCATAAATTTTTATATATTTTTAGTCTTTTCAATTTCCTGTAAAGCGCAGTGGAGTAGCAGGGTATTTATTTCATTTATTTTATTGTTAATACTTTTTTAAAAAACTTGGTACCTGCTTGTAAATTTTATTCATTTTTAGTCTTTTTAACTCATTGTAAAATGCATTTGATCAAGCTCCATGAAAAATGCGCTATATAAGTTATAATTAATTATTGTAAAATTCTAATTAATTGTTTAAGACAGTAACGTACATTACCTAACTACTGTGGGAAGAAGTTCTGCAGAATAAATATAAATGACAGCAAATGAAGCAGAGATTCCAAACTTGCCAATCATGGCAAAGATGGTTGTTAGAATCCGGTACACCGGTTTGGTACCTGAAAAGAGAAAGAGAAAGAAATCAATGCCTTCAGGTTATGTCTAATCCTTTAAATATTCATCACATATTAACAAGAGTTGGAACCTCTGTTAAAAGCAAACTCTTATTAGGTGGCCATCCTGTATCTAGCATGCAGTACGTTACAAGAGACACAGGGAGCAAAACTGTCAGTAATCACTGTAAAAAGAACTTCTGTTAAAGGGCCACTTGCCCCTTCCCTGTAGGTCACGGCTGCTTCATAGAATTTTGACTGTACCATCAAGGATAATGGACCAGACATATTTTACTAAAGACTTTTATTGTGATTCAATTTTAAATCTCTAGTCCCAGTTATTGCACAGCAATGGGGAAACCTGGGACACTTTTTGGGAGATTGACATTTCATTTTTTTTCTGGCAAAACAAAGCAAAAGGTAAAATAATTATTGTTTACAGGATAAGGAAGTGGTAGGGAGGAGACTTTCACAGACCACAGACCTGTTTGAAAAAATAAACAGACCAAACATGCTGTTCCCCCTATCGTCATGTAGTAACACAGACTACGGCGACGTCCAATCCTGAAAAAAAGGACAATCACTGTATCAAATTTCAGTTATGCTGATTATACTCATAAATTGAAAACCACCTAAGCATTAAGATCCAGATCTGGGTGGTGATACATCACCAGTATGGAATTTCTGCACACATTTCTCAGAAGTTATTTCACAGGGAAACCAGTGGAAGCATCATGAAATTTCAGCTGTTTTCTCAGGCCAATCCACTGCCAGAACCCAAAACCTCAGAGTACTCTAGGTAACCACTATGAGTCAGACAATTACATATTCAAATATTACATTGCATAACTGCAATACCTCTACTTACCAATTGATCAAACAAACACTGGTAAGGTAGGCAGGAAGCTCCATTAGGCTTGATAAAAAGAAGTTTTTATAGATATCACCACCCAAATGCTTGGTGTTCAGCGATAAACCATAATACACAAGTGTGTTAACAAACCTGAAGGAAAAGAACAAAATTAAATAAATCAACAAATTGTACAATGTCATGAATGAGTTGATTGCAGTCTTGTGTGTTTGTAAACCCACAATTATTATTTTCAATAAATAAAAAGAATTTGTTAAAAAATGAATTAAATGATAAAAAAATGAACAAATGAATGATCCACCAACAGACAACTACTTTTTCAATAAATTCATTTTTATTGCCATTTTTTTATAAAATTGGAAAGGGGATAACAATGAATTTATTGAAAAAGTAGTTTTCTGTCTGTGGATCATTCATTTGTTCACTTTTTTTAATCATTTAGGTCATCCCCATAAAATGTTTCGTTTCCCATTGCCCTCCCTGACTCGTGAAGGTGGGTCGGTCGGTCGGTCAGTCGGGCAAAAAAAAAAAAAAGAATGAACACATGACTGCATATTAAATCTCACGTTTAGTCTGCAAGATATAATCAGATGGTAAAAGATGTATATTGACAGGACTATCTAAAAAGGCTACAAAAACAAAGTATCGATGATAATTTAAGACAATTGGTGTTAATAAGACAAGATCGTGTGTTTGTAGATTAAAGTACTTGCTTCTTTACAAGTGATTCTCGAATTTTTTTTTTTTACTTTTCCAAAAAAATGGGTTGGTCGGGCGATGGAGACGAAACATTTTATGGGGATGGCCTTAATTCATTAGGTAGTTTTAAGGGCTCACAAAGTTATTAGTGATATAGCCTTTCATGTGTAAATATCCTAGTTGAGATATTATTTCATATATTATTGATTTATTTAGATTGACTGGCAGACATACCACAAATAAAACAATACTATAGTAACTTTGGCAATCTTCAAATTGGAGAACAGGTCTAAACATCCATATTTGTTTCCAACAACAGAAAGTGGACGGTGTACTTGTAGAAGAATCTTGGGTACAGCTATACCATTTTTTCTTGCAATGCTAGACAAGATGTCTTCAGCTTCAGCTAAACGACCACGGATTATGAGCCATCGAGCTGATTCAGGAACAATTCTGCATTTTCAATGAAAGTAGTATAAAAATTACAATAGTTCACTGAAGGATGTGGTTTCCAAAAGTTATACAGTCACATAAACCTATCTACAATAAATATTTACACCTAAATTATTCTCCCTTGAAAAAGATTCCCTTGAGTTCTGAGGTCCCCCCTTATTAAAATGCTAAAATCAGCCTTTAACTATGAAAAAATTTGTACTTAAACTTCAACCAAATAGTGGCCAAGGAAAGAACATTTTTTTGCAAAAGTCATAAAGATAAAATTATAATACTAAGTAAGCAAACAATGTGCTAAAGAGGTTTCATTTAACTGGTAACACCACAGGAT